GCTCTTCTACCAACATGAAGAGGTCCATGGCATGGCTTCTTCAATTGGCAATGGCTGTGCACTTACGGAAGAGGTCAGGAGATTCTGGTGTGCATACCAGACAGATAAAATTGTTATCAGAGTTGCGTGTGCAGCAGAAAAAGAGACATCACAAAGTCGTAGCAACCTTCGCCAAACTTACAAAATACAACAGCGCCATGCCCATATTTCATGGGTTTGTGAGTGAGTAATCTTTTAAAAATAGAGGCATTGGTGACAATTCCATGTAGAAAACAGAGCAAGAATTGAAAATCTAATTATGGAAGGTTTATATCACATTTTACCATCTGCTCTTCTAAGGAAGAGTTATGATAAGTGTACACTGCTTTTACATTGTGTCATTCAGTATTTTAAGGCCTCTACCTTAATCTGGAAGCATGATTTGTACAGAAGAGTACATAGCTGGAGTGACACTACACCACACTACTTCTTTGAGAAGTTTTGGGGGGTTTTTTAGCTTTATTTGACTTGTTGAGGAGTAAGCTTAATCTTTAAAGGCAGATTATGTCCTTAAGCACACACAGAACACTTTCACCACAGTATCACTATAGTCTATCCATAAATAAGTCAGCATGTGCACAATTAACAAAAAAAAACCAACTGACCCCTCCTCCCACAACTAGAAAACGACTAGCTAAACAATGCCATGGCCCCCTCAGCCCTGCAACACTGTTCCCCATTCTCTGTTTTCTCTGCCCAGTTATGCTGCCTTCTGTTAACAAACAGGGAAGCTAATAAGTAAGGAGGGAATCATTTTCTTTTTGTGGTGTATTTGCACACAATTTTCAATGCCACCTTTATATAAATGCATTCTTTAGATATTAAAGAGCAGCACCATTTATTTCTGACTAATAAAGCTGGCTATTCTAATAACTCCAGATGAATTTTGGAATAGTTTCCTGTGAAAGTATTTCTAAACCACACAAGGTTTTTCTGACCTCGATTACCTACTGTAACCTTGTTACAATTATTAGATTAACTCCAATGCATATTTTATCAGGGAAGAATTCTAAATCATAACAACCTAATTTCACCAAAAACAACTTCAAGGCACCCTTTTAACAAGCCCATTCCATTACTTGGAAATGTATCAAATTTCAGAAACACTATAACTGCACAAGTTTACTGAACCAATTACCCAGTCTAGGATAAAGGCTATTTATTTTTCTGTAACCACCAAGTGAAATAAAATCCCCTCTTTAGACAGCAGACTTGGCTACAATATCCTAAATCGTGCAAACAAAACAGTAAACTACAATCTTAAACTGCAGCTGCTGTAAAATTAAGCCACATCCAGGACACCAGCAGCCACTAACTGCCTCGAAAGCCAGTCCAATCCTTCATAAAGTCCTGTACCACTTCGGGCATCACAACCCTGAATATACCAGCTACGGCCACAGCACAGTTTGTGGAGACTGAGCAGTTCCGTGATTTCTTCCACTGAAAGTGCACCTGCTACATCCTGCAACAGAATCAGATACAAAGACTCAGTTATTCTTCTGTACTACGTTTGAAGCATTTTATTTTTAACTGATGGCTTTGACTGAAGCAACAGATCATACAAAAGCTTTCCAAACACAAAGGCCAAATAAAAGTTATGCATTTAATCCTTGTTACCATAAAGCAAAAACTGGTTTTTGAATCTACTAAGCACTCTAGCATCACTTATTTTACCAGCATTAAGGAAATAACATAAGGAAAATATCTATATTTTATTTTATTCTTTCCACTTTACCATTCCCTACCCATAGTAGAGAGTTCAGAAAGTTGGAATTTGATACACAAACTGAGGAAAAGAGTAACAAAATGAAAAAAAAAATCACAATTACCTGTTTATTAGCAAAGATCAAGAGTAAGGCATCCCGCAGTTCCTTCTCTGTTAATAATTTTGCGAGTTCACTGTGTGCTTCACTGACTCTGTCTCTGTGACTGCTATCAACAACAAACACCACCGCTATGAAAGAAAGAGAAATGTTTTACATACATTCAAATACAAATTCTTCAAAATTAGCTTTCAACTTACACAATTATTTTTTTCTAGCAGTCTTCTATGTGAAGTTCTCAGCAATGCGAAACTTCAATTTCAAATCTAGGAGGACTGAGAAATGCCTTAGGTACCTCTAAACTTTTGACAAAAATCTAGAATTCATCCTAAAACAGGGAAAAAAAGTCTCAAGTTTTTTGCCTAGTCTAACATAAAGGCTGTGATATTTTACCTAATTAGGTCAAAAACCAGATTTAGTACATGTGGATTAAGTACGTCGGTTTAAACCATTTCCTGATCCATTTATACTCAATCAGCTCCCACATAACTGTTCCAGTTTCCCTTAACCGGCTGTAAATTCCATAGGTTCAGCCAAATCAGCACAGCTTCCTTCAGCTACGGACTACACAAACCAGAGAAGACTGCCACGGACCTGACACAGCAGCAATAGATTTTACTGTCCACTAAGAGAGTAAACAGGGAAGCTGGAGAATCAGGGAGGCAGAGTTAAAGGATAGAATTTAAACTCATGGGTTTGCAATGAAGAAACCCCCAACACCAGAACAAAACAAAACTTATTGCAGGTATGCACTCAGTTAACTGCTTAGACTTTCTCTCCAACTCACAATTCTTCAAGGCAGACATGATTCCATAGGTGTTAACCTAGTGAGTTTGAAGAAGACAACAGAAATCCCAAAACACCATTGTTAAAAGTTTGAAAAGATGAACAATTTAAAAGGTTAAAGCTTGTGATGAAGGCGGAAATAACACACAAAGGGGAGCACGTAAACTGATGTTTTAATTTCGAAGAATTTCAGATAATTCGGAATGACTTAATGAAGAGGAATCCCTTTCTAAACTGGAAAACAGTTATGGAGGATTTACAGAGGGACAGGATGAATTTCTAAGTCAGCATCATTTAGATCAATGTTTCAGAATCAGTAATCTAGTCTATGACCAGATGTCACACTGCAGTACCAAGATACAGTGCAGAATCTTTTGTACTTGCCAACTAAAGTCTTAAGGCTGAGTATTTTCATTTCAAGTGCTATTTAAATGTCATACCTGGCAAGTACTAGTTCTCACTATGCAAATTTTGGAACGCTGCACCTTGCCTGTTCTCAGCTAGAACCAGTTTAACAGAGATTCTAATTTTGTTTGGCTCCATGAACTGTCTGATGGATTTATGGAGAATGCACCTTTATCACGCAGCAGACACTACGACCAACTGAATTAAAATTTCTTAGCTCATGAATCTATCAGCTGTACTTTGCATTAGATGAACAACTTTCTACAGTTGTAAATTATTTCTATTAATAATCTTTTTGGCTCTGAATACAAGCTAGAAGACAAAACAACAGCTTCAAAGTTGTCTCAGTCTCACCTTGTGTATTGAGATAATAATGCTTCCACAAGGGCCTCAATTTGTGTTTTCCTCCTACATCCCAAATAGTAAACTTCAGATTCTTGTATTCTACTGTTTCAACATTGAAACCTAGAACAAAAACATTAAAGTTTTATAGTCTTGTTCTGTACAAATATAAAATAATTAAATTCTACAGATCAGATAAACATTCAGAAAAATCATTACATTAAGTTGTTGCTACTAACCTATCGTTGGAATTGGCTGCATGAATTCATCTTGCTTTAACTTAAACAAAATAGTTGTTTTGCCGGCTCCATCTAATCCTAGTGTGACAACCCGAATTTCCATTTTTGGTCCAATATGTACCCTGTTGTCCTGGAAGAAGCAGCATACACAAAACAAGAGCGACTTTAGGAAATTCAAACCAGAACCCCCTTATGTTTAAGATACTTATCTTGCCACTATTTGTAAAGTGATTAAAGGGATGGACTCCAAAAATACAAGGCACACTCACCAATGACTTCCAGTAATAATATAAATCAAAATATCCAATAATCTCTGTAGTGAACCTGTAACTTCTGACCAAATTATCACACGCTTTTTAGAAAGACAGCCTAATCTCATGCTAGTATGTCTGTACTTGAAAAAATTTCAAATTCTTTCATCATTCTTGGCTCAAACTGGATGAGGAGTTGTTCATAGCAATTAGTTAGAATTCTCTGACCAGAGAACTCTCTGTCGGTTTTGCATCTTTTCCACGGCTTTTTGTCACATTATTAATGCCCCCACCTACAGAACTACTTCCCTGCTGGAGGCTTCATAGCTACACCTCTTCACCTCAAGCCACATCCCAATCCTTTACCACATTAGAACAGCAACATTATTAGCATTAACCAGTAGGCTGAAACGGTGAAGAAAAACAAGCAAACGAAAAAAACAAGTCTTGCTTGGAGGCAAGGAAAGAATCAACTCCTCATTTGTAGTTTAGACCAAGCTACCATGAGCATTGTATGAGCTCATGCTAACAATGTGATCAAGTGGTATCAATAACATAACACAACAAACTGTAAATCGTAAACCAAACAAGACTGGCTAAGATTACTATGTATCCCTGAAATTTATTTTGAAGTACTTAGAAATGCTACCTTGATGAAATAACCAGAGCTCCAATCATCAGAACCATGTGGCAATGTATTTGTTTTCTTGCAAAATCCAGACAGCACGATGCTGGGCAAGCAATACACAAAAATTTGTATCTACCCCACATGGATTTATTTCTGCTTGGATTAGAAATGCTATTTACTGAGTACAAAAATGCTATAACCTCTCCTGGTACAAGACCAACATGCATCAGTGTGACCAGACATGTATATAGATAGCTGGATATATGTCACCAGAACACGCAACTCTATCCTCCCCTCTGTCACAGACCAAATAGCATACTGCCAGAATAATCAATACAGGTTAATTTAATGACCTTATGCTATTGCAATTGCCAAAGAGAGAAAAAACATCTCGAGAAACTGCTTTTGAAAAAAAAAAAAAAATAAAAATTATGCAAATACCACAATGCAAAAATCAGCAACATCAAAACTGTAAACATAAGAGTCAGATCAAAGGTACACCTAATCTAGCATGTTGTCTGAAGGTAGGTAAAGATGGATACATGTGAAAATAAGGAAGAGGGAAAGCACATAGCAATAACGCCTCTAAATACCTTCCCTGTGCCTAACAGCTTGTAACTCATGGACTTTTGAGCCAACAGTGCAGTTTCTGCAACTAACAGATCTTGATGTATTCTTCATCTATGAATCTGTCTGTTCCTTGAAACCACAGACATTTAGGGCCAAGAAGATCCTTGGCATAGAACTCCACAGGCTAACTATTTGCTCTGAAAGAACGACTTTATTTGCTTTGAATCTGTGAAATAAATTTCTACAAGCTGAGCAGTTTCAGTGCTACAGCTTTGATACTGCACAAGGCAGATGCTCCAAAACCAAAAGACCAACTGAATATTTGAGATTTGGAAAATAAAACATTGAGACTTATTTTATTTTTAATAATTTCCTCTAAATCATATTTTTTTTTTGATTCGGAGCTGAAGTTGCCAAATCCAGCGACAACATTGCAACACATGTTATCAGAAAGGCTTATTTCCTTCTGGAGAAGAAAAACCTGTGGGCAGAATCTTTCAGCAGGAAAGGTGTGGGTGGGGAGAAAGAGCACAAAGAAGTATGCAAAGGGCACTGAAGAGTCTAAAAAAATGCTGTGCCTCCAGCACTCTTCTCACACTCAAGCCTCAGTTCTAATTTTGTCTAAATTCCTGGGGATGAATCTCCCCAGTTCTTCTCTTTGCCTGAAAGGGAGGAGGAAGGAAAAGATACCATTCTGGATAGAGCTGCTAAGTTTACAGGTTTCTTGCTGGAGGCAGCACGCTGGCTATGGCCAGAGCTTGCTGGCAGTGAGCTAGCCTGGCCATCCTCTCTGGGCTCCATCAGAAGAAGCACCAGTCACCTTCACAGCTCCCATGGCTGGAGGGCAGAGGCAGCGCTGGTCTATGCAGCTTAAAGCATCGGGGAACTGGAGTTGATGAATAATTCTGTCAGATTTAGCCATACTGTTCCTGTTTGCTTTCTGTAAGGTTTAGATTGAAAAGAGGTTTATCTCAGTCTGCTTATACTTTTCAGAAGGAATCAAAATGCAGTCTGTGACAGACATCAGATTTCCACTTTCTATGTGAATAGTTCAGAAAGAACTTTGCAAGAAAATTTCCTACTCAGAAACCAAAGTATAGCACCTGTAATATGAGTCAGAAATAACTGACTATTGATGATCACAGCTAGAAATTGACAAATGAAAAAAATCTCTCTGCATCAACTATATCAGCACCTTTAATCAAAAACGTTATTTAAAAAAATCTGGCCAGCAAAACCCCTTCATGTCTGCATTTCTGGCAGGTGTGTAACTTGACAGCATACTTAAAAATAGGTAACCTGTGACTTCTGTTCAAGTAAAACTTGGTTTTTTCTTAAATCTCAGTACAGAAAGGGCAGAAGAAAAATCCACGCAACAACTTCCATCTCTTGTTTTTTGTCCTTTGTCTTTGTTAAGACATTTGTTGACATGACAAAAGCTGTACATGGGTTTACTTAAAGATACTATTAAGTGCTTTCCCTCTGACAGATTACTGTATTCTTGGGTACTCTCGGTTTTGGTAAGGGGTAGCGGTTTCCCATACTTGCTTCAACATTGACAGATAAGTGCTTTTTACTATAATTTCTTAATGAAAAAAAGGTTTTCTTAATCATTTCCCCTCTCCCCAATATGTACACACAAATATTTTAGGATGACCAATTGCTCTTCCTGTATGTAACACTGCAAAGCCACTGCTCTCGTTTGACCAGGAAAAAAGAGCAATCTCTTTCTTCAGACAAGCATCACACCCCTGGATGAGGAGCCATTTCCTTGCCTACAAGCTAAGTACATGAAGACATCTCAATCTTATTTGGCCAAAGCCCTCATAAATACATAGGTAAAAAAGGATCTATTGGAAACAATAACTATTAACAACATTTGGGAAAAAAATACTATACACTAACATATTTCTTGAAAGACTTTCAGCGTCTTGTCTGGAATTCTCCAAATCTTCCCTTCAGAGTTTTATATGTGGCATTTCTTTTCATGGTTTAGAAGGAGGAAACAGCACTATCCATGTTTCTTGTGTCATCAGAGAAACAAAAAACACGGACAAAACCTACTCACTTTTCCCCCTCCCCTCCTTATATCTCTGAGTCCAAAACCTTCACTGGATATGGAATGTTCCTCTGATGTGGTATGGTTCGCAATGCTTCTCTAATTTTTTAACGGATACAGCCTTCGGTGCATGAGAGTTCTTGAGAAAGATTCTTAGGGAGGCAAGGAGGGTGATCAGCAAACTCACCACCCTGGATTTCAGGAGAGCAGTTGTGGATGCCCAATCCCTGGAGGTGTTCAAGGCCAGGCTGGATGAGGCTTTGAGCAACCTGGTGTAGTAGTGGGTGTTCCTGCCCATGGCAGGGGGGTTGGAACTAGACAATCTTTGAGGTCCCTTCCAACTCTAACCATTCTATGATTCTATGAAAGACCTTTTCAGTGATATAGTAACAGTTTACAATTTGTGATCTGAAAACTTTATTTCTGTCTGAAATCTGTTGCCAGGCAGAGACCCTTCAGATACAATAAGTCACAACAGTGGCCATCAGCATGACAGTATTCTAAAAAACATTGGGTAGAAAGAGAGCTTTAAACTTTGACAGAAATGAGGAAAAATAAAAAGTAGCAGACTGAAGTTATTATTTTCACCTTACTTTTTCTTGGCTGCTGCTGTTTTTGTGGAAAATGAAATTTGCTTTGCCACCTTTGACATTCAGAATCTAAGCTTCAGCAGATTTCATTAAAACACAAATTTGTCACAGCAGAAAAACAAGAGACGCCTCATTTCTTTCTAAAGAAATCTGAGGTGTACAGAGATACTGGAAGATTTCTGGGTCCCTCAAGCTGAGACCTATTTTAGGTCTCCTCTTACAGCTTAGCTGGCTGCAGACATTTTCCTTCCAAACGCTCACAAATTCGCCATCAAAATTTTCTGAGTCAGATTAACAGCGCCTAAAGGCAAAACCAGACATCCAAAATGCCTCCCTGACTCAGCCCTGTGAGATGGCAGCATCAGTCAACTCCGAATACACAGAATGCAATTCACCATCTGTGAAATGTGAATGTGGCTTCACTCGTGTAACAATGGGGGTTTGCAGAAGAGGTCTCCCAAACTCTTCTAACTCTGGTCTCTGCTAAATAGGGAAGGAAGGGGCAGAGGGGAAAATGTTGCATTTATTGATCAGAAAAAGCAGTTATTACATGGAAATTCAAATACACTGAAGCTACGAAATAAATTATTTGGAAGAAATTGAATTTCAAGTCCAACAAGGACTTGGACAGAATCCCCATGGAAGCACCCATTTCCTTATAGTAAAAACTCCAATGGCAAGAGTTAAATCCACAGTTTCATCTCAGCAACAGTAGATCCTGTTCCTCTTTCACCCATTCAGAATCAAAAAACCCACAAATCAAAGTACTACTTTTTCTAATTTATTTATAAATATGAGTAAATATGAGTTTCAAACTTATTTACTCTCCTACATGAAAAGTATCATCATTATCAAACTCAAAAAAATTTCAACTCTTTCAAAGCACACGTGGTATTGAAAAGATATTAAAGCAATAAAAAAAAAATAATTAGAAGACAAACTGTGTCTAAACTATCAGTGAATACAAAGCAACTCTAAGACAAATAATCATTTAACAAATTTAAAGAAATATATTATTTGTAATACTATAAACCCAACTTTATAATAGCATTATTGCATTTAAAAATATATGTGCAATTTCCAAGAAATAAAATACTAAACGTTCTGCGGAAGTTATGCTGTCCTCATGAAAAGGTCAAAAAGACATGGGTAGGATTTCTGGTCTAACGCACAATAAATCAGGGACGTTTCCAAAGAAAGGTATTTCTAGAATTGATAAATACTATCTTACACATTTAAAAGAAAGCAGTTAATGTTCAAACAAAGCTACTGATGTAGTCAGATGAATGTTTGTCACACTAATTATAACAGCACAGTGGGTTTGTTGCTCAAATACCAGATGGCACCCATCATATGATAAGACACTGTGGCTCTAAATGATACTGACCTGCCTAAATTTGCTGAAACAAATACAGCATCATAACGAACACATATTATTCTTGCTTTCTTTTACATTACATTTGGGATTTCATAAAGTGGATAGCTGTATCCTCATGAGATTAAGAATACCTTTGTAAAGGTGACAGGTATGCTAGCATCCAGCTGTACATGATCTGCAAGTTCTGTAAACTGCTGCTGCTGTTTCTGTAATGTCTCTAGCAATCTTGTAATTTCCTGTTTGGCCAACACCACTCTGCAGTCATCCTAAACAGACAAAGAAAACAAAAAGCATGCCTTTACTTTAGTAACTTACTTAAAATAGCCGGACACAATGTAATTATGACGGCTTTTTAAATAGAAATACTCTAGTTAAAGAAACTCACATTTACAAAACAGATCTATATAAAATTGTAATACAAATGCGAAGCCCTTGTCATTCTTCCTTAATACTAATAGATAGTAAATAGTTCTGCAGTTCTAAAAAACTTTTTCTTTGACCTCTCTTAGTCCTGTAGGAGTAGGAACATAAATTGTAAGAGACAGCAATGCAATATGTAAAGAATATTTGTACCATTCATATATCATTCCAGCAGCTGCAATGAAGCAGCTGCTTTGCAGCATACAGTAACACAACATAACACAAAAAGATTAATAGCCACCCATTAATGATGGGAATATTTGCATAGTTAAAAGCATATCTGACTAATATATACTATAATACTATAGTATAATAATACTATAATATATACCAGAGACAATAGCTCTAAATAAATTAAAAAAAAAATTAAAAATTACAAAAACACATTAATGAAGTAATTTCTCACACAGTTTATTGTTTGCTACATACACTATTTACTTTTTGCTATCATTAAATTAAGTGAATAATGGATCAATCAGATACTCTTATATAGCCACTTTCTTCACACATTTAATATGTTGAATTATCCATATTTATTGCAAGTGTTACAGAAAAGTTATTTAGTCCAAAAACATTTTCTCCCACCAGCCTTATATGACAAGTATCTTCAAACACTTATACTGGCAATTGCAACTGTAAAACCTTTCCCATAAATCTTGTAGGTTTTTTGCTTCAGTTTCATCTCTCCTTCCCACTAATCTGGCAAATAACCAGAAATTACTCCAGACGAGAGAATCAAGCCACAGGATCTCCAGCAACTGGAGGACTTGATGCTTTTGTACTGATTATCCTTGTCTAACATCTGCTTGTAATGTACACTTCAATCTCACGTTACATCATCATTGTTTTAACATTGTAAAGGAAATAAAAATGCAGAGTACCATCTAACCTTTTCGTTTGTAGCTTAAACTTAATTTGCATTTCCACATATCTTGCCATACGCTGCAGCTCACTTGCGAACGTACCTGTTGTAAAGTCTTCTCACAATGAAGGCAAGCTGTTGAAACCTGTGACAAGAGGATGGTCATGTCTTCTTGCTGTTGCCTAAGCCAGATCAACTTCTCTCTCACGTGAGCATCAACAACACTAAGAGCCATTTCCTCCTGACGACAAAGGGTTTCATGAAGATCAGAAAAATAGGCTCGGACACATGAGCGAGCGTTCTCGGCAGTCCCTGGTACCTGCAGTGTTGCAGTCAGGAGATCCAGAGTTGACACCAGTTGATTCCAGAAGTATATTTCTCATTTAACTTCAGTTTCTAACGTATGTTCACATCTGCTTGGCTACATCACAGTTCAAGTCCCAGGTCCCAGTTATATAGAAAGTCTGGTCAGCCCTAAGACCAAGATCCTCCAAGCAGTTACTCCAATAATGAAGTAGCTTATTTGTATGTATAAATATCTTACTAAAATCGACCAGGGAAAAAAGCCTGAACAGTATCACAGTACTAGAGAACAGATACAACCTGTCACAGT